AAGTTATATTACATGTATTCACATAAGGCGTGGACTTTTGCGACGGGTCGAACTGGGACTATGAGCTGGAAAGATCTACACAGCTTCTACGATGAAATTAAATGCTGGTGACGCTATAATAGAAAACTTTATTAGCAAGGGAGCGATGCAGAGTGTATGTCGGACACAGAAAATGGTGCGGACTTGGAACCAGAAGACGCGTCGGTGCATGCACAATAAAATGGCAGAGGACCATCGGCGATGGTCCTCAGCGATGGTCCATCGCTATCGGTACTGTTGAAGAGAAACAGAGGGATGGCTCTGCATCGACAGCAGGAAAGATTCGCCTGAATAGCTACATGTACATGATGTCGTGACTCTATACATGCACGATGATATGGATGAGGACCATCGCTATCGGTACTGTTGAAGAGAAACAGAGGGATGGTCCTTGCTGGTTCTGCATCGACAGCAGGAAAGATTTGCCTGAATAGCTACATGTACATCATGTACAGTACATGATATCATGGTTGTATACAAATGGAGGAACGTTGTCGGCTGCACGCTGAATACAAGTTGCAACGAAAGTCTCGAGGCTTGACGAAGGTGCCACGTTGAAGTGAACACAGTGCAGTAACACAGGACCCAGGGCGACAGCTGAGACACCAGCGGAGTCGCTCGCTCTCCATACATCGCTTAGGACTCTGCGCACATTAGCAAGCCAGTCCAAGCGCTTAATACTCGAGAACCCACTAGCTAGTCGCGCTAGCCCCATCGACGCCGCCCATGACAACAGCATGTCACTAGATGAAATTCGTTGTAATTCAGCTGCCACTTTGTCAATAGAAGCACTCACTCCGCTATTGTCCAGAGGGAATACCACGTCTCCATGACACGACGAAGACGAACGTTGCTGCTTCGTGTACAGAAACGACTCGAGAATGCGCTCTGCGATCGGTTTAACGCGTCGTTGTCTCCATTGAGCCTCTGCCAATGTCTCCAGCTCCTCTCCGTTCGAATAAAGAGCAGCCACGTGACTCAATCCTAGCAACGCACAGGCCTCTACCATACCGTCCGATGCGCTCGTGTAAATGTCCACAAACATCTTGTCGATCTTCTCTAGTTGAGTGCAGAACGTGCTGCAGTCTTCAGTAGCATCCACTTGTCGTCTACCAAGCGCAAGCTGAAGCGCGATCAAAGCTCCAATAGACGAGCTACGAGCGTCACCGTCGTCAGTCGAGAACACTCGACTCTTCTCCATCGACAAAGCTAATAAACGTGTCAATTCTTCAACAATTTCCTCGTATTTCAGACGAAGTTGCGGGTTTTGCCAATGTCTCGACTCCCACAGCTGTCCGGCCAGTGCTCCAGCAGCCACCGCGCCTCCAATCTTGTTATTGCCATGTAACAACGCGTCAAACAGACCTCCAGCACCCTCCGAGAAGACACGGAAGCCAACGTCGGCATCATCAACACCCACGGGAGTCTTCAGCTGCGCTAATTCGTCCAATGACGTCACGTACGTCGCCATAAACCCGCGCCATCCCTCCATCAAGACTTGTGTACGTAAGAACAGCTCGCAATCTGTCGCTGTGTCTGTCAGTGTCCACGGTAGCTCCATAGCCTGAAGCGCAGACGCGACTGTTTCCATCAATTCGTCCACGTTTTGAGTCGCCAGACGCACCAGTTTGTCTTTCCGCTTAACGTTCCTTGTGTCGATCACCGCCTTGGGTTGATACGCCAGCAGAAAGCCACTCCAGTCTACTATTTCAGACATCGAGGACTGCACCTCTGCTCGTGAAGGAAGAAGCGCCTTCATCTCCTTCGTTGCTGCAGCTGAGACACTCGCTTGAGCCGCAGACGCCACGCGCTGTCCTCGTCCAACGCCAGCCGTGAGTTTGGCACTCTCATACTCGATAACTCTCGCTACCAACGTCTCAAGTTCAGTGCGAACAGCTGCTTCCTGTTCACCCTCAAGACGCTGCAGTAGATTTTCCACTTGCTCCTCGACTTCCTCCTCCGTCGCTTGCTCTTCGTCTTCACTCTCCTGTTCCATATCCGACATGCAAAGACCCAACAGATCCAGCGGGAACGTGCACATGGCCGCATACGCAGCCTTCCTCACAGTTAAATGCTCACTGTCAGCAAACTCCCACGTCTGGTGTAGCAGCTTCACTGCGTGTTTTTCATTCGCTCTACTCTCAGCGCCACCAAGAGCGTAAAAGCAGCATAGACGCGCCTGGAAGAGAGTCTCGTCCGCACACGTCACCTTGTTCTTGCGCATCTTCTGTGAGATGATCTTGAACGCCACGTAAAAGTCCAAGCAGTCAGCTCCACACAGCGCCGTGATGGCGTCCATGGCCATGGCAACTACAGACTGTAATTTGTCTTCGAGAAACGCTTGGATAGCTGCGATGAACTGCACACCCAGCTCGGGGTCTTCCTCACACAAGGCTTTGATTGTAGCCATCCTCACGACGTGACGCTCCGTATCGTCGTCCGGAC